TAACCTCACTCATTGTCTCTGAAGAATAAATTCTTACGTCCGATAGACTGGAACTCTAGTGGTCCTAGCTTCTAACTGGAATGCCTGAATTTTCCTGATGAGGTCATTCTCTAGTATATATGAACTTCAGCACAATACATATTCCGATGGATCTGTGCAATCTGAAGTGCAAATTGTTTCGAATGTTGGTTTATAACTGTGAAATCTTATATTTTTTAACGTTTTATCTGAAAATTCTGTCTTCGTGTATGAATGATAACTTTCCAGGTTTCAATATCCAATCCATTATCTTCTTCACGAGCTAGTGTAAACCAATTTGATTTCTTAGCGCTCAATTCTTGTTCTTTCGGTACGGTTCCAGGTGTTCGGTAATGTCCAATGAATGGAGGTCTAGCCACTCGACTGTCTAATTCTAGTAAGTTGGCAGTTAGTTGTGAGTTTTTATGTCTCGGGACTTGAATGAAACGTTTGTTCCAGGGCAGTAGGGTTTCTAGGTACAAGCAGCCGTCACATTACGAAACCGGAGGTCAGTTAGTTGCAATATGGAGAGTAACAAGGGTAATAATGATAAAATTGTAATGGTAATATGAATAAAATTTCAGAACTGAGTAATATGTAGATGAATTCAGTTTGTCAATTGATAGTGAAGATTGTGAGAGAGGACCATAGTGTAAGCAAGGGAGAGGAAACAGAGATAATAGGCGAGATAGATTAATTGAGTGATCTGAGGAGATTTCAATGGTAAAAACTAGCAGGTCTCAAGATATGCATCAGGCACAGCTTGTCCAAGAGGGAGATGATAGTCTGTATGTGTGTACGTGATTATCAAGTCTCTTCTTAAAGCAGTCCACTGAGGGGGCTGTAACTACCTCGGCTGGGAGAGCATTCCAAGTTGCGACGACTCGCGATGAGAAGAATTGTGCACGAATCTGAGTATTCGCTGTTTGATGTGCAATCTTTCGAGGATTGCCTCAAGGGGAGTGGTGGTAATGCATCGGTAAGATGCTCACATTGGGATGGTTTGGCGTGTTTAATATGGTGTACGCCAAAATCAGATCACCCCTGATTCTCCCGTAGCTCATTGGGAATAATCCCAAGAGCTGGAGTCTATCGTTGTAGGGTTTATTTTTCAACACTATCACCCATTTCGTTGCTCGTCTCTGCACTCGATCGAAGATATTTATGTCTCTTTTAAGCAGAGGGGGTGCGATGACGTTGTGAACCTCCAAATGTGGGCGTGTGTATGTCTTAAACAGGGACAAAAATAATTTTGGGATGATAGCACCCAGCTGTCCTAGCATAAATTCAAGAGTCGCATTTGCCTTGGTTGCATCCTCTACATAGTTTGGACTGGTGTGGAGGTTTTCTGTGGTTATTAAACGAAGATTAAGCTCTGAGGAGACATTAGGGAGCTGGGAATTAGTGTGACTCCAGTGAATGCCTGAACAGTTCGCATAACTGTGAACAGAGGACTTCATCACACTGTTGCAAGATTATAGGGCGGATTTTGTCACAACCTGGTGACTTACTAGGGAGTAAGGTTTTTAGTTTCCCTAATACTATGTCAGCAGTGATACGGATGTTCCATAAGCCGTCAGCTGGCACTGGGTTGGCGTAATACCCTGAAAATCTAGGTGCCTGGTTTAACTGATCAGCAAAAGTGGTGTTGAAGATCTCAGCCATCTCTAGGTTGGTGAGGTCTTCCCCGTTTGATCCTTTCAGGGAATACAACCCTTGATTGGTAGACTTTCTTTTTAGAATCTATTTTGAATGTTTTGTTTTTTGGAAAATCCCTCCATGCGTATATATTTGCGTTATTATGTTTCCTTCTGAACTGTACATATGTTGTTTAAATTTGATATTTAATGTGGCTACACCCATATTTGGATTTGATACTCTAGCAGTAACGGACTGGAAGCACCTATTCTTCCAGAAACGGATACCGATTGTGGCAATCGGAAACTCAAAGGTGTATTATCGGTTTGATAATTGTCTGTATGTCCAGATTTAATAAAATTGAACCATTTTCCCCGAGAATTATCGTGTTTTTGGTCCTTGACTGGGTGAACGAGTATAAACCTACACTGCTCGAGACGAAGTGAACTGCTAGAAAATTCAATTATAGTTCAAAACGATAAAAGGAAGAATAATCCTTTGGAATTTTTATCAAATACAATCTCAAAACAATACCTGGAAGAAGAACCTTTGGATTACTTATCATTTACTATTTTTAAATTATTTTGGGAAGACAATCTTTTGGTCCTTTTGGATTTCTCATTGCCGCAGAAGATTTGCCGGTGAAATTTTATATTTGCTCTTTCTTGTTTCCTTTCCGTTGAATTTCAATTTATCATGAGTTCTCGTATGAAGGCAAACACGAAAAGAGATGGAGTTTTTAAAGAATCGCGGGATATGAGGCAGGTCCCCTATGCAACTTGATTTTTAAAGGGTTCACTCTCTAGTAAGGCCGATGTTATGCTTAGTACTATTTGTTGTTGGTCATAATTAGAAAGTACTACGGAAAAAAGTTTTGACGAGGACTAAGAGGTATCTGCAAAGGATTTGAGGCCTGGGACACCGGTAGTCGGATTAGAGTTGCCAAAGGTTGAACTACCTTTGTTCGATGGCAGACACCGCGAATACTTAAGGTTTGTAAAACAATCGGACACATTTATAGAACCTAGAGTTATTGATGATAATCTGCGCCTATTGCACTTAACTCATTATTGCAAAAGAAAGGCCAGAAATGCGATTTAGGGATGTCTAATAATGGAACCTCACGCATGATATAAAAGGGCTAGGGCGAATCTAAAACAGCTTTTCAGACAATTGCACGAAATCGCTCGTGAGACTTTGGAAGAAATGATTAGATCTGGAAATGCTGATTATAATGATCCCAAACAGTTGTCAAATTTAGCCACTAAGATGCACAACGAGTCTATGACACTGGAAGAGTTAAATTATACCTTTGAATTAAATTCCTTAGTAAATTTGGAACGAATAGTTAGGCTCTTACCTCATTGAATGCAAGTCCAGTGGGCAGAGCTGGGAATTAAGTGGGACGAAGAGGATAGAGAGCCTACATTCAATGAATTGACTGACTTCATTATGTCTCGTGCTAGGATAGCTAGTATTAGATTTGGACAATTAGCTAATCACACGAAAACAGGACATGATATGGAAGCGACTAGTCATCTGCGTACGAGACATGGGAATTCTTCAAACGTGTTGGCACCTACCTCACGCCCGGAACTTAAGAGAGTCGTTATTTGTATTAGCAAGCTATATCCTCTTCAAGACCGAGCATGTAATCCTGATGGTTTAAAATCCCTTGATGTGTATCTTAGTGAGACGTCGGTATCTGTAGCAGATAAGGTGGCTTTTTTGAAGGTGGCAAATAAGGAGAAAGGCACAAAGGTTAGGTATCAAGACGGATCCGGGGGATGTGATGTAAGAAGTTTCCTAACTGTCTGAAATGCAAGGAATTGTAATTTGAATTCGAGCAAACAGAGATTAATGGGTGCAGTATATATAAGCAAGGACAAAACGGGTTTGACTGTATGGAATGAAGCTTATGTTCGGAATCATTCGCGTAGGGTAAATTATTTGACACGACCTAGAGCTGATTCTAGGATAGCAAGTGTAAACAGTGACACAGCACTTCATGCTGCTGCGCTATCGAGATGTCTGCCGGCTACTGTATCTAGTTCAACGGAGTATCATAATAGTGAAGCGAAAGATAATAGCGACCTAGCGCGTTCAGCTGAAGTTTGTTTGCAGTCAACTTAGTAGTCATTGTTACGGG